TTACGATGGCTGTAAAGGCAGTGGTACAGGTGGTGGTTTTTTGTTATGGTGGCTGTAAGGGGCAGCTGGCACAGATGGTGTTTGTTTACTGATGGCTGCCAGCAGTAGGTGGCATAAATGGTGTTTGTTACTGGTGGCTGCCACCCAGCAGCTAGGACAGATGGTGTTCGTCACTGGTGGCTGTCAGTGGGAGGTGGCACAGATGGTGTTTGTTACTGGGGGAATTCAGCATCAGGTGGCACAGATGGGTTTTTTGTTACTGGTGGCTGCAAGCGCCTGCCTGCGTCTTTATTATCAGTAAAGATATCCACTTCCCATGATAGTAAAAAAGGGGAAGCTCGTGTTGACTCACTGCCTCCCCCAGCAGCCTCGTTAACGAGAGACACAAACATTCTTTTTAACAATGTTGGTAGAATTACCCACAATATGTTAGGTAAAACGAGACGTGTGCAACTAGTGCGACATTTTTATTGTGGCACGCTTCGCTTTGTCACAGCTCGTGGAGAGCGAAACGTTGCCACAATAAAAATGTTGCATTTGTTGTACTTGTGTACTTTACCTAACATTCTTAAAGACAATCAATACCACCAAGAGAGCATCGTACAATGGCGATTTAACGTCAATCACCCCTTTGGTATGTATTAAGGGGTTTATACACACCGATGTTCATATCCCAAGTTGTATTATACACTGAAAGTTTACTTCATTCTCTAATTTTTGGGGTTACCCATCGCTGGCCTTGATGACCCCGTGCAGTAGATAGGCTTCAAGCCTAACATTACCAAGGTGAAGCAAACTCAGTATACACATTACACGAGTTCCAATAAGAGTGCATTTCAAACTAATAAAAATAATAAATTAACTTCTAAAATAAAGATTAAAGTCAGTGTAACACAAAGTGTGAGATATGATAAGGTTTTTTCTTTTTATACCTGGCACAATAAAAGTTGGTATCCGGCAGGGAAGTTACACTGATACAAACACAGGTAACCTAGAAGGACACCCTTTGTGTTAATGTATGCAGGTGTGTCTCTTTAACTCAGTAAGTTATTATCTTCAACCCCTTTTCCCTGTGTCTTTATGTTCTTTTACTTTCACTTGTTTGATTTTCAATTCAAATTCTGTGCATTTTTGGGTATAATATCGCATGTCTTATTCTTGCCGAATAAGAAAAGCGAAAATTTGTGTATGCAATAATTTCGCAAAAATCATTCTGAACCTAACGAAAAAAATATATTTTCATTGTTTGTTCATTATTAAATTACTGTAAACTTATCTAAAAATATATTTATTGAAAGATTAGCTAAATTAAATTGCACTTGTTTCATCAATAAGTTAGGTAAGTTTTCTTAAGGTTCTTTTAGGTACAAAATCATTAATTTTTTACATTAACTTGTAAAAAAATATATCCTTTCAGAACGTACAAGTAAAAATTTAGAAAGAACTTTGTAATTTTAAAAGAGTTCTTGCTGAACCATTTTACCTATTCGGCACGATCTTTGAGTTAAATGACGGATATAGCCAATCTTTTCTTCTGTATTAGATCCAAATAACTTCGGTGGAAGATGGCCGTTGTGGTGTTATAAAGAAGCAATTACAGGTAACCCACCCCCTTCAGGAAGAACATAAAACAGGCTAACGGGGATCGGGTCAACAATACAGCGTTGCCAGATGAATGGCTAGTGTGTCCCAGCAACAAAGTGTGAAGACCTAGCAAAGACAAGTGTAATATCTACACACCGTAAAGGTCGTCTCTCAGTGTGTATATTTTACAAATTTTTCCACTTAATGTAATACCTACCGTATTTTAGTGTATAAAAGTATTGTTGACTGGTGGTGGCAGTAACATGCAGCCTTAACGTTAATTACATGCCACCTAACAGTGCCGCCTAGGAGCCCCCCCCCCTGCACCCTGCGCCTTATTTATCACATTTTACATATTTCATATTAATAACATGGTAAATACTGACGTAGCTGATGAACATAAACACCTTTGAGATAGTTTTCAAAGAATTTTTCTCCAAATTCCCGCAGCCTGGTCCCTGGTCAGGCTTGTCAGGTGCCGCGTCTGTCAACCAGATTGTTGCTGTTGCTCATGCATCTCTCTTCTCATTCCGCGCTTACACTCCCCTTCTCAGTAAGATTGAAACAGTGTTGCAAGCGTATCTGCAGGTACCAGTTCGATCCGGCAGTGCCGATTGAACGTCGCTGACCCGCAATGCTGTGGCACCCTGACACGAACAATTACCCAGCAATGTGGCACCTCTGACGCTCACACGCACCCAGTAGGTAGTATTAGTTGGCCCTATGCACATATTTCCAGATCTTCACCTGGTACGTGCCTCGAATGAATACCTTCTTCCTGTGGGAAATAAAAAAGTATTGATCGGGAAATACCAAGGTTACTTTTATTATTATTAGTTTAGTATAGACAGTCTTCAGGGTCACCTCGTTCCTCTCTAGACTGAATTTTGCTGTGGACTAATGGCCCTCTTCAAAAGGCAGCAGGAGAATTTCCTGAAACTGCAGAAAATGCACGATAGAACTTTCACATCTGCGTATAAAATAACTGGGAAAGATTGAAGTCCCTAAAACTGTACTGCTTACAATGTAGGCGAATAGTGCCATCGGTAATACTTAACAATTAATCCACATCGGAGACAAACTTCAAGAGATTGCTTGACCTGTATATATTTCGACCTCCTTCTGGGTATCAACCGTCCCTATAATTTCAGTTACTCCCTTTACACTTGTGCATCTGCTGAAGAGGAACCCCAGAAGGGGATTATACACGATCAAATAACGGTCTTGAGTTTCTGGCTCCATGCTGGGATAACTTATTGCGAGCACTGACAAGTGTTCATATTCTAGTTAATCAAAAATCTATATCTGTAGATACTGGAGGGATTGTCCAATACTGCATACCCGAAATTACCTATATATAAAGGCACAAGAACTTGGCAGGCGGCTGCAACCTCCGTCGAAAAGCAGGAGAGCGATAAACACACAGGGAATCTCAATAAGTTTAAGGAACCAAGACCTTTTCAACACCTTTCTTTCATGGGGCCCCACAGGCGGGATTACAACAAACCCCTAACTGTCTTAGAAGAGGGTACTCGACAAATTCCCAAACGTGCCTGAAGAAGCCAGGTTGTGTGCATACGTGACTGCTGTGGTGGCGGGCAGCTAGCACTAGAACTGAGATCATGGCCAGCAACCAGGAGGCCTAACCTGGATCTTGGCAGGTAGTATAGATAAGTACTTAGTGTGTACACAAGACAGAAGGGATACACCGCAGCAGGTACAGGTGTGTCTTGTCCTCGGACATCTGCACCGATCACTTGACACAAAGAACATAGAGGTAACACGTTTCGACCAATACTCCCCTCGTCATCAACATTTCCCATGGGAGAAAAAAACGTGGAGAAACTTCAAGTCATATTATGTCAAAAATCATTTTAAACAATTTTTCTAAAATTCTGATTTAACCCCGCCCATTGTAACTAGTAAACATTGCACGCAACTCACGGCCTACTCGTGCGCACGGGAACGCACGCACGGTAGACACAACCACGCACCTGCACACATACAGCTAACAAAACCAAACAAAATGTTTGATGTGTACTGCTCATAAAACAGCCTGAGAATAAGTTCAAACAACAGTAGTGAGGAGACCATCACTCAGCCGAGAACACTCACCTAAAATACCTTGAGAAGACTTCGTAAAACGTCTATATCCAGAATAATAATGAGTGAGTATTCATTATAAAGCTATCTGTATGTGCAGATGTCCTTGGATGCGGTGACGTTAATCAACTAAGACGTGTGATAATCATTATAGAGTTTAATAATTCCCAACATATGGAGGTGACTGCTTCACCAAGTATTGTGGACATAAGATGAACAATCCACCGGGGGGTTGAGTATAACCAGATGACCTGGTTAACACCAACTGGTGTTAACCATGGGGGTCATACAGTTTAATATCTGAGACTGACCTGGGTGGTTTAACCAGGCCGACACACCTTGTATAACATCCGGTCAGATTAGATGTAAGCAACACACTGAGTCGAATTAACCAAGACAAAATCAAGTTCACTCTTAAAGACAATGACTTCTCATCCTATTATTTCTTTATTAAGGGAGAGTGTTGAAAAAACCTTGAAGCCTTAATGTAACTGTTACATCCCTGGCCTTTGCGTAAGTTATTTTACGCCACAACGCTTTGATATTCCTGCTTCCTCATGTAAGCGGTTTAATTCTGTGCTCACACTTTTGGTACACTCCCTACAGTATTTTGAAAGATGTTAATTATAGAACAACATTTTTGTGGCGGAGTCACCATGACATTTAATATTGGAAAT